GCGCGAGGGATCAAGCCGGGCTTGATATTTCGCCTCGCGTACGCTACGTCACCACGCGTACAGCGGCGCCAACCAACCAGAGGCCGCGCACCAACCAACTAGAGACCGCGACGACTCCGAATGCTGTGCCTAAAGGCCGCCGCTTCAAAGGCACAGCCGAGTGCTGAGAGCAAGCATGAAAACTACTCCAAACGTTCCTGAATGACCGCTTCGTAATCTAGAACGACAACGAAACGACGAACGACTGCGAGTGCTACCAGCGTGACGCGGTTTCGTGCCGAGTTCGAGCGACGCCGACAAATCCACCAAATGCCGGCACCGGTCCCGAGTGCAATCGTCGGCCGAGCGAAAACATCGCACAGACTATTGGAGCATGTCGGTGTTCTTGTGCATTGATTTGTGATTTTCTGTGCCAAAAATAAGTGTGAACGGACTTCGGAGGTTCGAAGCTTTGAGCGCGAGCCCTCGCCTACCGCGGAGGCAATTCAGAGTGGTGTCATCTGGATCCAGCGTAGGCCTCTACCGTCTAGTTCGTATGAACCAACACATGCGAGGCACTTCGGCTGAGAAAGATCTACGGTAGTTTCCGTCGCAACATAGACACCGTATACTACGCCCAAAACATTGCGTAGTGCATACGGAGGAGTTTTTATCTACACTGTGTTTGTTTTCAAGATCGGTATTCATCATCGCTGAAAGTGAAGCTCGCACTAGCCAGCACATTTTGGTGATGTGAAATCGTACGTACTTATATAAGTGTATTCGCGAATTGTATGACGCTGAAACATTCGTTGGCTTCAGTGCAAATCGTTTTCGTGTGTTGCCAAGCTATTAACAAGCGTGCTCCGGTTGGTATCAGTGTGATGTGATTTCGTGACCGGTACCAGCGACGCTGACACATTCAGCTGTCAGCAGTCTCATGTCCATTCATATCCAAGATAGAAACTAGAGCGTGCGTTGCTGTGGTGATCGAAAAAGAAAGTTGCATGATTAAGTGCTGCTGGTATTGCCTGCTATTACACTTCTCGCTTGTTCTGCTTCTCGGCCACGCTCAGTTGCACATACATTGTTTGGAGGCATTCTAACATACACATTCTTAATTTATAGCTCATTCTGATACTCATAGCTGTAGGCATACGATGGTGCTTCTCAATCGTTTTACAGTTCACTATAATATAACGCGTGTTTTGTTTACAGCTAGACAGATAACTGAAAACCTTGTGAGAAGCGCCTGATTTGAAATTAGCTGCACGATGACACAATAGTAGGAAGAGAAGGTCACCACATGTATGCACAGAAAGAATGAAGGTGCACTAGTACTGTACTGCACTTTGCATAGAAGAAATGCAAAAAGTACCTCATGTGACTTATGAAATCTTTCAGAACTGTGCATGTATTTATCTGTTCCTCTAGACTGTAATGAGCTGAAGATATTATTAGATGGTTTCAAACATTGAATGTTTGTATGTGTTTCCAAGGACTGCTTCATTTCTTTTCAGGTTTTTAGTATACACATTAACTTTGACTATATATGCATGCACTTAAGCACATTCAGTTAGGCTATGTTAAAAACCTTGCCAAAACTTCTGTATGGTGCTCTGGTGCAATCCTATGACCGGTATGTGTCCGATCAAAAATTTTGGGCATGCTTTATTGCATTCTAGGGTATTTTGACTATTTATGACATGTGAAAGCCACAGTGCTTGGCTGCCGTCTCAAAACCAATTTCTGTCTCATCAAGAAGTGTCAGATGCACTTTGTAGATGTTAAAAGATATTGAAACTAGCTGCAAAGTGCAGAAACCTCCAACAGAGCACTGATCTGCAATCACAGTCCAGCCTAGAAGTCATTTGTAGTGCTCTCCAACACGTTCAAATAAAGTTGTCGAACACTGGAATGATCTACTTGACTTTGTTCGTGATACCAGTGTGTCTGACTTTTTGGAGGCACTTATATTAATGCTCTGTTTCTCTCATTTCTTATTGGGGTGCACTCAGAGGGTAGTGATATTTGTTTACGTTGGCACACTTACTGTGATATCACTGTTTAAATGCTTTCATTTTGTATATATGTACACCACTTCTGCAGAAGCCTCACATTGGGCTGCCGTATTTGAAAATATATAAATATACCATCTGAAAGTGTTCCACGCTGTGCTTGGTTCCAATCTGATCACTAATATCTGTTGCATCATGAAGTGTCAGGTGTGTTTTATTGCATTGGAGAACATTTTGACTGCCTTCCATACAGGGTTCAGTTCCAGTATTATGACCGATATCTGTGACTTCATGAAGAGTCGAGTGCAGTTTGTCGTTTAACAGAATACTTTAACTATAGACAACATCCAGAAGTATTCCATACAGGGTTCAGTTGCAGTCCTATGACCAATATATGTCTTATCATGAGGTTTCAGGTACAGTTAATTGCGTTAAAGCATATTTTTACCACAAAAAATGCCCAAGGGCATTATATGTAATGCTTGGTTCTATTCCTATGACCAGTATCTGTTGTATCATTAAGAGCGAGGTGCGGTTTATTGCATTAGAGGATATTTCCAATACGCTTATCATTCGAAAGCCCTCTGCACAGTGTACAATTAGAGTCTCATGACCTACATTCATCACATCATGAAGAGTAGGTGTGGGTTGTTGCATTGGAGAACATTTTGGTTGCAGACAACATTCGAAAGCCTTCTATACAGGGTTCAGTTCCAATATTATGATGATATCTGTGACTTCATGAATAGTTGAATGTCGTTTGTCGTGTTAGAGAATACTTTGACTAAAGACAACGTCCAGACGTCTTGCATTGAGGTTTCAGTTCAAATATTATAACCGATATCTGTGACTTCATGAACAGTTGGGTGTCATTTGTCGTTTTAAAGAATACTTTGACGAAAGACAACGCCCAGAAGTCTTCCATACAGGGGTCATTTGCAATATTATGACCGATATCTGTCAAATCATGAAGTGTCAGGCACAGTTAGTTGCATTAGAGCACATTTAGACTATGTAAAATGCCCGAAGGCATTCTACGCAGTATTTGGTTCCTATCTTATGGCCAATATCAGTTGTATCAATAAGAACCAGGTGTGCTTTGTTGCATTAGAAGATATTTTGAACACGCACATCAGCCGAAAGCCTGCTATTCTGGCCTCAATTGTAGTCTTATGATGGACTTAATTCTGTCAGATCATGAAGTTGCAGGCGTGATTATTAAGTTGACTGATATAAAATATGTTGGTAAATATACTGAAGGTACCAGCATATGCAAGATATTGTTTGAAACTTTGGTAGTGCAGGTATAGAAACCCGGTGGTTTGTAAACCTGATCAGGAGGGCAGCCACGCCTCATTCACCACAGAGAGGAGGGGGGGGGGAGAGCTCAATGTCAACTCCATATATTAACATAATAGGGAGAGGGTGCTAAGTCAGCCCTGGGGAGGGGCACTGGGACAAACTTTTGCCCCCCCCCCCTCCTTAAGGAGAACCCTGCACACGCCAATGATAGACGTACAGTATGCTAGACGCGAATGTTCATTCGCGGGAGCAGAGCACGCACAGATGTTGATTTCTGGTGCATACCGCTGTAGTTACTTTGGGCACTGAAATGTCAATTACTTCTAAAATAGTCTAAACTGTGGTGTTTGAAGCACTATCAACTTGTTAACGTGTTCTCATATCCTCTAAAACATACATTCCCGCTCCAGTTGAGAACGTACCATTCTGTGCTGAACTTGGACAGTTCTAAGCCAAAAGATCAAGCAACATTGTGCATCGGCCTTGGACGCGTGGGCGTCAACGCGGTTGACGCGTGTCAGTGGTTGCGCGCCCTTTTCCTCCACAGGCACGACTAGACGCTTTTGACGCGTAGGCGCGTGCATACGCGTGCCAGTGGTTGGCACTTTAGCGTGGTATCGCCAGCGTGATGCGACAAAATGAAAGCCGACGCGCGCGCACGCGCCGGGTCAACTCGAAGTGGGTGGCATACGGCCGTGGAATCCGCGGTTGCTTCATCGCACAGATCTGTACGATTTTCATCCGGGAAAGTACTGCATCGGACGTCTGACAGGTGACAAACTCGATAAATGTTTATCGGTGAAATAGTCTAACTTGCGTAACTTCAATCGACAATCAATCATATCAACTAGTTGTGTATGATTTAAAGACAAAAATATATTCCTCGTGCCCGGCATCTTACTCTCTCAAACTTGAAAAATAGACGTGTGAGTCAGACCAGAACAGCGCCAAAAGCAGCAGACGCAAAAATTAGCTCATACCGGTCCAGTGTTACGCCAACGAAGTTGAGTCTTTAGCCAACGCCGGTAATAACGTTCGAACGATGGGCCAATAATGCCAGCCTAACTGCATGGCTCCGCCCATATTGGCTGCCTCTTGTACAACTCGGACCAAAGTTGCCTTTCTAATACGCTGGCACTGCCAATATTGGCGGAAAGTTCTGAATACTGGTCCAACATCACCGTTCTATGAAACTGGCACAGCCATTATAGACAAAACGTTGTGAATGCTGGCCCAACACCGCCGTTCTATTCGGCTGGCGCAGCAATTATTGGCGGTACGTTGTCAATCCTGGGCGATTCTTGGGCCATGATCTGCCAATCTATCTCCAACATTGGGCCAACGTTCTGTGCTGCCTGGAACACTGTTTATCAGGTGCCCAGGTTATGCCCCAAAACCTAATTGCAGCATATCATGATCTGTTTTTTTTAATTTCAAGTAAATTCAGTTCAGTTCAGGGTTATTTTTTCACTTCGTTCATCTTTTCAGTTTTATAATATCTTATAGTGTGAAATTGCATTATTCACTGAGTATCATCTACATGAAAGGTGGGTACAGATGGATACGCAGAACGTGCTGCAAAATACCATCCGGGTAGTTGTACAATCTTTTGCCACACGCCCTGAATATTGATCACATCATTGAGGATAATAAACTCAAATCTCTACTTTGTTATAAAGCAGCGCTGATACAAGAACACGGTTTTGACGAAAAATAGGAAATCGAGACCCCCTTTTGCATTTATTTCAGCTTTTTATGCGGCAGCTTTTATATACATAGCACACATGATTTCTAGCTCATCCTGGCCGGACCTGAGAAACTGCGATCCACTCTAAAGTAAATCGTAGCTGGTGTGGTGCCCACAAATGAAATTATACACCTTTTAATCTATCGATTTCTGAAAGCGTTCGGCTCAGCTGCCATGAGCCTAAGTGTGAGTGCTCTCAACCGCCGAGCTTCGTAGGCCACACTGCGGCTGCCAAGCCCAGCAGGTGTAGGCCTAATATCCGTGGCCGACGGCAACGTGCGACCATGCTGCTCGCATTGTTCGAGGAACTTTAGTAGGTCATAGAGAACAGCGTCCCTGACGAGAACCACCTGTTTAGCTAGGCTCTCGAACAGAGCCAAAAGGCAGCGCTTCGCATAGTACCACGTGTCGGCACCCAGCTTGCTGGCATGTGGCTCGAAGCTCTTGATGACTCGCGATATGCCGAAGTCGTAGTTGCCCTTGGCGCAGTAAAGCGTGCCAATGACGAGGTTCACGATGCATAGATGAAATATCTTCTCGCCTGGCTGGTCGTAGGCGAGTTGCTCCTCCCGTTGCTCGACCCTTCGCATGAGCTGCTCCGCTTGCTCGTTTTGACCGGTCATAATGTACGCCACGCAAAGGTTTGCGAGCAGGGCAGGGCGGAGTCGCAGGAGGTCGCGGTCCTGTTGGCGCTCCACCAAGGGCTCGTAGAACGCCACGGCCTCGTGGAATTTGCCTTCCTGGACGAAGAGAACGTGGCCGACGTTCAGTCGCCAGCAGTCCTCCTCGCTACAGAGCTCCACCGAGCGCCGGAAGAGACGCTCAACAAGAGGGTAGTCGTGGGCCTCCCACGGTATGCGTGCCTGTGAAAAAATTAGAGGGAGCTTGTGAAGAAGGAAGACATGTTGAAGTGCATGTTCACAAAAGAAACTGCCCTTGGCTGACAAATTTTATTCAAAATTCCCTTTACGAATATTTAGAATACGATGCTCCTGCAAGCTGCAAAGCATGGTGTTCCTGATTTCAGTAAAGGTGCTGATAACGATTGAAATTTCTACATAATCAGTGGTGCATAGACAAAAAGCAAAGGTAGTGCCACTGATGCGACCATAGTACAGTGAAGTTACATTTTTCTCGTCAGCCGCTAAATTTTGTCGCATAGGCACAAGACACCAGGTTAAATAAAGGATGTTTAAGGCAACAATAGGTGCTCACTAGACAAAGGGCATTCAGAAAGGTGAACACGCCAAGCAACCAACGTGATCGCTGAAGATACTCGTCCACAAGTGCAAAATTACAGCTAGATTTTTATTTCTGTATGGTTTATGAGGCCTGTAAATATTGAAGAAAAAATGAAACATCTTTATTTACAATCAGGTGCAAGCATAAAGCTTAGTAATCCTTTCAATAAAGTAAAGCATAAAATATGGTTTTGCTGTGCTTATTTAACCCCCGATTTGCGGGGGTTAAATAAGCACAGCAAAACCATATTAGATGATAAGCTGTCAGTGAACATTCGGAACACCCTCCCAGCTGTTCCCAATAGATGTTAAGCTACAGCTGCTTTGCAGTTCACGCGAAGGCTTCTAATGACGGCCAATCACCCATCGTTTTCCCCAAGTGTTTCCCGTTTTGACAAATAAAATAGCGACCCGTATCGCAACACTACATCGGCCGTCCTCTCCACAAGCCTGCTGAAATCTCAGAGCAGCTTCTAAGGAAGAGCTAGTCACGACCACTGGTACAATACGTTTGCATCGCGGAACCACATGTTCAATTGTTTCATCATCATCACCACACACCTCACACCGCACATTACTTACAGCATACTTTACGTTCCTTAGGCGCAAGTGTGTTCACAGTGCTCCAGCTCTCGCCAGAAAGAGTAAGTTACTACCAAGAGAGTTGTACAGCATCACCATAATAATACTATTTTTGCGACACCTCGAGACAACTAGCGTCGACTTTTACGACATACTGTGCACCCAATGGGCTTTCTCTTCTTCTCGCGCTCTTTCCCGTGCCTGGTTTGCCCAGTCAGTGGGTGAATTTGCGCTGAGAGGGACACGTAAAAAGCCGAACTTGCGAACGATGTGGTAGAGGCAACGCACCTACGGAGTACGCAAGCACGTTGCCTACAAGTAGTCAAACACAAGGCGCGCTCCACCCTCCTAAGACAAACAGAGCAAGCAACCACGCAATGAAATTTTGCTGGCCACCTTCCAAGCTTCAAAACTTGACAAGCCTCTGTTACCCTATATAGCCTCGGTGTCCAGGGCATCATGACAGCCGAAAGTTGTCCGGCCAACCTGTTGTTGTCTTTGCTCAAATCATTTTCTTGTGGTAGTCGAGAGGCAGAGTACAACAGCGTTCGCGAACGACAATGCAAGCATATGCACAATTTTCGGTGTGTTCCGAACCATCACAAGTCTGTTGCCCTGCCAGAGACGCTGTCGATGGAAGATGCACTGGGTTCAAAGTACCTTCTGATGAAGATCTCATTTTGTTGGCTAAATAGCTTCGGTCCACTTGAAAGCTGCACTCCCAGGTATTTGCATGTCGTACAAACTATCCTCATATCATCTTCGAGCCTTAGGCAACTTCTACGCATGTGCCTGCGATGGGTACTACTGCAGATTTTTCGCAGTTTTTGCAGAATTTCGCAGAGCTCAAGGCTGGGGACCTCTGCTTCAGAGATGGTAATCCGCTTCTCAAAATACCGAGACTCTGTCAAAACACTTGGTCATCAGCAAAGGTGAGCCCCGCTAGTCTACACATCTTGTTCACCTGCCTCCCCCTGTTGTGTATTTCAGTTGAAAACGAAGCCCGCATTTGAGAAGCTTCCACTCTAGGTTGGTCATATACATAATGCACAGCAGTAGGAATAAGGGGCATCCCTGTCGTAATCCCCTCGTCACCTTGACAGGTGAGGATTGCACACCCCCAAAATGAACAATAACACTGTTGTCTTCGTACAGGTACTACACTATAGGTGACGAAGAAGGTAGAAATTCTTCAGGTCGCGGGATCTAATCACGCCTGAAGCAGCCTCATTTTCTATGGAGGCGAAAATGCTTGTGGCACGTGTGCCTAAATTTAGGTGCCCGTCAAAGAAACCCAAGTGTTCAAAAGTACCGGAGCCCTCCACTACGGCTTCTCTCATAATCATAAGGTAGTTTTGTGGCACTAAATTCTAACAATTATGCTTGAAGTTTGATTTGTTTACAGACTCTCAAAGAGCGTAGCATGTGGATAATTGTCGTACGCCTTCTCTACATCTGAAAAAAGCACAGGAACGGTCGCTTTTCTGCCTTTACAGTCAAAACAACCTCTGTGAGTACAAACAATTTGTCATCCAGTCTTCTACCTATCCAGAAACCATTCCGCATCCCCCTAAGCAAATGTTTAGTCTCTGCCCAGCCACTGCTTCAAAATTTCTGCTAAAAGCCTATACAGTACGCCAGTAATTGTAAGTGGGCGGTAGGGTTCGATGCGATCAGCTGGGCCTCCTTTCTTGGGTATATAAAGACCACGCGGCCAAGGCAACACTGCCTTGGAATCGGCGCACCTTCAATAATTCAAGTGAAGGAATTTGCAAGCTGTTCCTTCATTTCCTTGCCAAAGCCTTGAAGTATTCCGGTTGGTAGGCCACCCCGACCAGGTGCTCTGCGGGCGCCGATACGCTCTAATGAACGTGACCGGCCTCCAAAGATCGAAATCCTCGGCTGGTACCTCTGTCGAAAATAGTACGTTCTCGTTCATGTGCGCATAGCAAAGGCCCTCTTTGGGCTCCGTCATCACTTCTCTCTGCAGATAGTTTTTATGTAGACGGAACAGGTGGGAGGTGTGATGCTCTTTAAGCTGCGAAACCGGCTCTCCTGTAGCAGCTTTTTGCGGCTGAACAGGGCTCTTCCCCTTCCAATTCAATGAGATGTATATAACACCAGAACTTTTGTGACGTCGATTTTCCTTCTTTAGGAAATGCCATTAAATGGACAGTATGTTTGGCAATCTTGTCTTGAGCTAGTGTTTGTAGATTTTTTTTTGGTCTAGGTACTCTCAGCAAGCCTACAAACATGCTTCCTTGTCTCCCCTATTCACAAGAAGGTGCTGGTGGTTCACCGCAAGAGTGCTTTGCTAATAAAAGTTCACTTCTGCGTCCCACCAGGGTTCGCGTACTGCATCTGTAAGGTGCTTCTCCCCAACCCCGTGTTTTTGCATGACTGAAGACACTGCAGACACAAAGTCTTAATATGTTCCAGCTTGACCTCATTCTGCACACGTCTCTAACTTGCCCACGACATCCGGGACAGCCTAGCTGGGCAAGTACTTGCCCCATTTCTTGAGACAGTGGTTGTGCGACACCGAGTCACTCGAACAGTTAAATTCTAGGAACACACTATTGCGGTCGCTGCCCAAGCTGAGTAGGCCTTGTTCGTCAACGTCCATATGCTCGAGCAGCCTATTACGGATTGCAGGCACCAGGGCATAGTCAATACACATGGCCTTCCACGGGCACACCACGTTACTTGGTCCCCACATAGAGGTTCGAGCTTTTCTACGACAAGCTACATCTTGCTACTAAACTTCCATACGGAACTTGCGTGTCCATTCTGGTCTGTCAACTCACCAAACTCGTTTATGTGTCCATTGCAGTAACCCTCAATATTGATATGTCTAAACAACGTCAGCTGTTATGCATTCCTTTGAATGCATTTTTCTAGCTGAGTATTGGCGTCGCATTCTTTGCTATTATGGAGTTTAATAAATATGTACTAGAAAAGTTATGGTGCTTGTACCAATGGGAGCTGCCACGCACGGCGCTTCAGCGAGCATGGGAATGATGGGTAGTACAATTATTTGTCTAAACTTCAAATTCTGGCTCCAAGAGTATGCGTGTGGCTTGGAGCTGTTTTTTACGAAACAAAAATAAATTATTGTTCAGCAGTTCCGCTTCACCACCTTATTTTTTTAGGCTTACCACTTCAAATCGGGTAACGAAGTTAAACACGGTGCATTCTTTTGACACAAAGCGTAAACACAATAATAAACGAAGCCACAAGTGCGATTCGCCACCCACAAGTACGAAGACTTGGCAAATTCATGTACTACCCATCATTTACAAGGTCGCTGAACGATCGCAGTTCCAGAGTCCCCTCTAGTTAATTTTACGAAACTCTACACTCTTGCGAAAAAAGTTAGCGATGAGTAAGTAAACGCATGTGTTTACTAGTTTCCGGAGTATTTTACTACCTGCGCAGCATACTTTTACTATCCACCTGCAAGTACAGCTGGTAACTTTAGCCCCGCCGACGCGGTCTAGTGGCTAAAGTACTCGGCTGCTGACCCGCAGGTCGCGGGTTTGAATCCCGGCTGTGGAGCTGCGTTTTCGATGGAGGCGGAAATGTAGGCCCGTGTGCACGTTAAAGAACCCCAGGTAGTCAAAGTTTAAGGAGCCCTCCACTACGGCGTCTCACATATTCATATGGTGGTTTTGAGACGTTAAACTCCACATATCAATCAATCAATCAAGATAAGAGTAAGTTTATTTACAGAAAGGCAGAGAGGTCGGTCTGAGCGATAGTTTGCTCTAGCCTGCTACTCTACTTTAGGGGAAGGGAACCATCGTCATTCACTATTCAATCAAGCTTGTAACCTTAGCCATTACTAACCACTGAAACTTTCTTAGTGTTTTTAACTAAGCAACTACTAAGCCATTTGCGTTGCCAGATCTTTCGTAGGTTCCGCAGTGTATTTTGCCATAATGGTGACACCGTTAGCAATACTTAGGCAAGCTTTAATTTTATTGACTACCATAGAATAGAAGTTTCGAGCTACGTAATGGCACATGCTTAAGTAAATA